GTGTTGATCTTTGCTTGGCCTTTTAGCCACTGAAATCCAGCGGATTTTCAGTGGTTGGCATGTGGTTTTGAGGGCCTAAACCAGAGACGGGAGACCCTCTCTCTTTTGGCCTTGTTTGTTTACATTTTTGGCCTTTCAAAGGAGCACATACTTTCATACTTCCAAGGCTTGGTTTAGGCCCTTTTTGGTGACTTTTGGGACCTACCTAGACTCTGTCTATGGCTGGTTTGATCACCTTGTGTTTGCCTCTTGCATGTGTAGAATAATCCCTTTCATGGCTTATCAAAGTAGCACCTCATTCTTGCATGTATTGGTCATGTCTCAGTGGGTTTTTGGCCATCATTTGGCATGTCATGATTCTTTTTTTGGCTAGTTTGGTAGCCTCTCATATGCTTCATATGCTTGTAGTGTAAATCATGTTTACTAGCTTGAAATGCATGATGTCTTGGCCCTCTATTCTAGCATATTTTGGCCTTGATCCAAACTAATTTTGTTCATATTTTGGGCTGCCTTAGCTCTGTTTTGAGGCCTTTTGATCGAATGATGCTTGCTATGCATGTTTGTAGTGTAATAGCCTTGCCTAGCTTTGAGTTTTTGAGGTCCCTTGCATGCTTAACTTGAGGTATTTGCATGTTTTGGCATTATGAGGAATGTTATTTCAGAGCTTATTTCTTGGCCATATTCTCATGTTTGTCACTCTTTCAATGTGCTTGAGAGTTGCATCATTATACCCCATTTGTGAGCCATTGCATGAGCTTCATTTTTGTGCCTTTCAAGCCATCATCTTAGTTCACTTTTGCCCTTATTCTGGCCTGCATAGGGTCTGTTTGGAGTTGGTTTGGCCATTTGAGCATTGCCTTGCATACCTATAGTGTAATACACTTCACTAGTTTCGGTGCTTGAGCCATTCAACATGCATTGTGTGAGTTGTTTACATCATTTGGAGTCATTTTGTATGCCATTTCAGAGTTGGAACATGTGTCCTTGCACTCCATATTTCATCATTTTCAATGCATTTGGAAAGTTGTGTTTTATACCTTAAGCTTGGGGCCATTGCATTGGGCATGTTTGCATGAGTTTTGGAGCCTTGTTTTCATCATCTTTGGCCATTGATTTGGGTGTGGCTGAGGCCTATCCATTTTGGTTTAAGTCCATTTTGCATCTACTATGCCATTGTAGTTCTTAGCATTAAGTATGCCACGTTGTCGCATGATTGATCATTGCATTGTGCATGCCTTGTTCATCTCATTGTGTATATTAGTTCCATGTGCATTGTGTATGCGAGTATCATGAGCATTGTGCATGCCATGTAGCTTATAGCATTGTGTATGCTAGTTGCATGTTTGCATGTTATCCCTTGCATGTTTGCATCACTTAGTTGCATTGCATTAGGATTGCATGTTAGAGTTGCATTTGTGCATGCCATGTTTGTTGCATCGTGTTCGGGATAGGAGTTAGTCCGAACACGGGAAACGAGGGACATCTCGTACTCAAAGTGATGAAACGTGCCTCGATTCCTGGTCGCCGACATTCTTGACTACCCATGATGGAGTTGTTGGCTTTAGGTGCTTGTATGTGCATTCATTTCACATTGAATCGTGCAATTTGGCTCCTCGGCCATCATGCATTGAAATGCGTGATTGGTGGCCGAGGGTCGAGGACTACACTCCCTTGAGCTTATGCAATGATGAGAAGAGTGGTCGTGCACATATGTGTTGCAAATACTTTGCCGTGCCTCTCTCTTTTCCCTTTGTTGCAGAAAACTAGAAACCAGGAGAGGAAACTGGTCGGCCGACCAGATTTACCGGCAGGCCAACCACTTTTTTTGGTTTCCATCACAAAAGGTGGTCGGTAGTTGGTTTCTCATGCCTATAAGCTGGTCGGCAGCCTTCCCACAGATTCCCAGGGTGGAGTTTCATTTCTCTGGAGCTTTATGCAAGTTTCTGAGATCAATTGCAAACAAAGGCGAGTTGGGGCGTCGCGAAGGATTTCTGAACAAGGCAATTCAAGCATGCATGCGTCCTTTGTCATTCAAAGCAGAGCTAAGGTAGCCCACATTCATTTAACTTGTATGCTCATTTAGATTGCTTTCTTAGTTAATGTTGTGTAATAATTAGCTGTAGCTTATTATTCATTTTGTTGTGTAATAACTAGTTTAATTAGATTAGCTTAGGTTACTGGTTGGTTTTGTATTATTTATTCGGACCCTCCATCGAGAGGGCAAATTTTGTAATAAGTGTGCGTGTGTGTGATGCATGTCTTCCAACCCCACGTCTTTCTGCCTTTTATTTACCAGCTTACGATGGTTAGTTTTAGGGCATGTTTCAATTAGCATCCTTATGCTTCGTATGTTTGCATTCATTCATCTGTCTTGCATGCACTAGGCTCAGCGCATCATACTAACTGCATTGTATTTCAATTCTGAGTTGAATACATGTTATCTGTAGTATCTCATATGCCGTCTTAGAAAAGCCGAGCCTATCTTAGTTGCATTTTGCATGTGTTGCATTAGCCATCTTAACATGAACTAGGATCATGCATTGATTACTAACTAGTTTCTGTTTTGTCTTGGAGTACTCGGTGAGTGTTTATGTTTTAGCATCCTTGCTTGTGTGTGAGTGACTGCAATGATAGCATGCTTGCCATGAGGCTAACTGCTTATGTGATATACCTGCTTGAATGCCTGTGGGTAAAGGTTGAATTATTTAAATTGAAACAATTCATCGATTGCGAGTTTTAAGCCTACTTGAGAGTGGCAAATCACCATGTTTTCTAAGCCCACTTGAGGGTGGCAAAATCCACATTTTAACCTACTTGCGAGTTGCAAACCGCTTTAAAAAACAAACATGAGATGTTTTGTTCCAACTTAGACGATCTAGTCTATACTTATACTTGTATGCTGTGCGCATAACGTAGCAACTCTAGGCTAATAAACCGGAATAAGAGCACATGTGTTTTCAAAAACAAGATATCATGTTAGTAAAGGTCGATCTTTGATCGGGCGAGCGGGGGTGCTCATTGCATGACCTTCACCTCTCGTACCCAAGTTCTCGAGCTGAGACAACTTTGGTGATGACGGACATGTGGCCTTAGGCACGAGTCAGGGTTTCCTAAATTCCCCCCAAAATAAAATATTTAGGTGGCGACTCTATATCTGGCAAAGCAGTCCATGTTTGGCACTTCTTTCTAAAAATCAGTTTTTCAAAATGATTTGCCGGATTTGGACTCTTTGGTGATCTATCAATCTCGTATTACACTTTGCGAGATCATATTAAGAACCGTGACATTGAGTCTGAACTGTAGTGAGCCCAAATGAACAAAGCGGGATTTTCCCGGGACGTTCGGGCGCGTCTACAACCCCAAACCGAATTTTTTTTAATTTGTTCGGCTTCTCATTACCATGTATTTTCAGTTTCATTTTTTTATATTTTTTTTTTAATTTTTTTGCCTAGAAGGATTATACTTATATTCATTGTAACAACGCAAGTACTGCAATATTAGTGGACTCTAGTCATGAATTCATTACATACGAGGTTTGTTAAGTTTTTTTTATGAATTCGATTTTTTTTTTTTTTAATTTGTATTGAGTTTTATTAATAATTTGACGTATAAATGTATTTATTATCTTTAGATTTTTAGTAGTCGTGAAGCATTAATTAAATGAGTTTTTGACGTTGGGAAAAATATTGGATTTGTCATTGTTATAAAGACATTAAATGCGGGAGACAATGGCAGAAAATCAAGACTAATGCGGGAGACAATGGCAGAAAATCAAGACTTACACTTGCTTGTAAAAGATGTGGTTACTATAAAGATAACAAGAAGATCAAGGGAGAACGATTGAGGTTGACAGGTTCTAAAAAGTGTGAATGCCTATTTCTATTAAGGGGGGAAAATTACCTACAAATTACCAAAACGAATTGTGATAACATGTTTGATTGATGGATGCAAACAATGACAGATTTTATGGATACTTTATGGATATTCATACACTTGATGTTTTTATGAATAATTTTATGGATACTTTTTATGTATGATTTTATGGATGCGTGTTTGATTTATGAATTTTTTTATGGATGCTTCAAAGAAAAAGTAAATCTTTCAATATACAGTGACGGGGGCCTAGACAACTCTATTGTAGTTTGGCAACATGGCACTAGAGTAATTCCATTTGTATAACAGTGTATCACTGAACATGCACTTCACAAGTGGCCTAAATCAATTTCCTGTTATCATCTAATTGGACAACAACATAATTCTGGGAAAAAAAAATATTGTCTGGTAACATGGCATTGGAGTAATTCAAATTAATTAGCGTTGTGTTATCGTACAAGCCCACACAAATTACAAACTCATTGTTTGGAAGAAAGTGTCTCTGTAAATGTATAACAACAAAATGCTGGAGAGATCTATTTTTTTCGACAGCATATCACCGGAATAATGTAAATTGTTTAGCATCGTGTTACCAAAATTAGTGATGTAAAGAGATGAAATAGTTAATTTAGGGTTAGTTTTGGTAATATATTGGGGGTGTAATGAGAATTACATTTTTTTAATGGTGTAATGAGATGGAGGGTATAAAGAGGTTAAATAATAGTGTAAGTAGAATCACCCTTATTTTTGGTGCACTATTGAAGGGGAAATTCTATTTCCACCCACCTGTTAAACTCAGGGAACACACTTAATGAAAAATACATTTAATGACAAGTATATCCTAATTAAAAATTACTATAATAGCCATTGATCAACACTCCTAATATTATATATATAAATTCTCTATACACATCTTTTAGAAATAAAAATATCTCAATATACACTTTTTGAAACAAAAAAATTAAACCCTAATTTTTCTTTTGTAGTCACTTTGCTTCATACACACTCTGTACTCTTCTCTATTATTTGCAAACAAAACATCTTCCATATTACTTTAATCTTTAAGGTTATACTCGATTATTAACATCGTTTAATTATTAATTCAACAATTTTTACTTGATTCTGATATGGAAGAGTTGCAAACCTATGGAAGTTCAAACTCAAGCAATGGTGACAACCAAATCAGTGATGAGAAGGTAAAATCGTGTAGTATTTTTTTTTGTTTTTTTTGTTTTTTAGTCGACAACGCAGTGCCGAATTTCTTAAAAGAATTCGGAAATCAAACACCGAAATAATATGAATAGTTCGTTACTTGAATTTCGATTTTTTTTAATTTAGTTCGGTTGTAACTGTCCGAATAAAATTAATATTTTCGATATTAGAGGGTCGAAATTTGTTATTATTTTCGCTTTTTTATGGCTGGATTTTTTTATTTATTTCAGATCTGTAGAACCGAATTAAATTTTTCCCCCTCCTCTTCAGATGGCATGCACTGAAGAACCTGAGGTTCGATCGGATATTATGGTGGATTGTACTAATCATTTTATAGCTAAATAGGTAATTTTTAACATAAAATTTGTAAGTTCATAAAATTTTTAACAGGTATTAGTTAGTTTGTTTAGTTTGTTATTATGAAAGTTGTGTGACATTGTATATAGGTTTTCGACAACAAAGATGAATTGCTCACTTGGATACGTGACATTGGAAGGAGAAATGGCATTGTTATAATTATAAGGACGTCGGACTATGGTGGCAGTCATAAGAGACCAAGAATTTATCTTGCTTGTGAGTGGAGTGGGACGTATAGATTGCGTAAAAAGTTGAAAAATGGCCCAAAAGACTTATTGAGACAAACTGGTACGAAGAAGTGCGAATGTCCATTTGATTTGAGGGCATTCAAGTTGAAAACAAACGATGAATTGACATTGAATGAAGTTTGCGGGCTGCATAATCATCCAGCTGCGGAGCATCTCCAAGGACATTCATATGCAAGGAGATTGTCAGCTAATGAAAAGTCACTATTAGTTGATATGTCAAAGAGCCTAGTAAGACCAAAAGAGATACTCATTACACTCAAACAGAGGGATGCCCTTAATATGAGCACAATGAAAACAGTTTACAATGTACGACATCGATGTAAGGTTCTACAGAAAGCTGGTAGATCCCAGATGCAACAACTGCTGGGTGAATTAGCGAAACATAAGTACATTGAGCGTCATTAATGTGAGGAAGGCTCTATGACTGTCACGGACTTGTTTTGGGCACATCCAGTGAGTTTGGATTTGCTTCGTACATTCCTTCGTGTGTTGATTATGGATTGCACATATAAAAAGAATAGATATCGGCTTCCTCTTCTTGAAATTGTGGGAGTAACATCAACTCATATGACATTCTCTGTGGCTATCGCATACTTGCAAACTGAGCGGGTTGATAATTGTGCATGGGCATTACAAACATTGCGTGATCTTATGGACGACAGTGTTTTAGCTGAAGTCATTGTCACAGACAGAGAGCTTGCTTTGATGAATGCCATTGACAACACCTTTCTGAATGCTCGACATTTGTTATGTCGTTGGCATAGTAATAAGAATGTATTGACAAAATGCAAGAAAATATTTGAGACAAAAGAAAAATGGGACAAGTTTAACACTACATGGAACTATTTGACATTGTCATCGACTGAAGAGGAATACAATGATCACCTTGCAACACTACATAAGGATTTCAGTAACTATTCGGAGGCAATCAAGTATGTTACTGTGAGTTGGTTGAATCCATATAAAGAAAAATTCATTACGGTACATACAGACATGTGTATGCATTTTGGCAATGTACAACCAATCGGTAAAATTTGTTTTTTTTTTTTTTTAAATTTATTAAAAATCATATTGTTATTTTTAATTATTATGCTTGACTATTTTGGTTTACATCCATATAAACAGGGTTGAGAGTGCTCATGTTAGATTGAAGAGACAATTAGGTTCAAGTCAAATGACATTTGAGGTTTCATTTGAAAAAATACATTGTCTACTTGAGTTGTAGCACATTCAAGTTGAAGCATCATTCGAGAAGAGTTTGACAACTGTACAACATCAATTCAAACCTTCTCAATTCAGAGAGCTCCGGGGTAATGTGTCTATTTGTGCATTGGAGTACGTGTTGGTAGAGAGTAAGAGAGCAAATTCAGTTGGAATTGATGTTGCAACATGTGGGTGTGTTCTTAGGCGCACACATGGTTTACCTTGTGCTCACGAGATTGCAGATTACATGAAACAAGGCCGTCCTATTAGTTTTTATGATTTACTAGCATAGAGTAACGAGGTAGATATCATTTTGCCATTGGATTTTGTCATGGTCAGTTTTTTTTTTTAAAAATAGAATATTATATGCATTATAGTTCTCTAATTTATGGAATGGATGTCTGTAGACACCCCATTTTTGACCGTCCTCAAGACTTGGACGTCACCGCTTGAACACTCAGTGATCATCCATGTTTGTGTTCGTCTTGAGTTCCCGGAGGTCACGGCTACGCGCCTTGCCTCAGGATCTCTCGACTCGACTGTTTTGTGTTTGGTTTTGCACCAAACACTTGTGCTTTGCCTTGGAGGGGCAGGGAATGGCTTGTGGGGCATCCCCATACTCCACCGGCCATGGCTTGAGGCCACCGGCTGTGTTTTGTTGATGGCCGGCCGGCTATCTTTTTTTGGTCAATTGCATTTTTTGGCTGGCCGACTACTGTGCATCTGTTTTTGCAGATATTTTTGTGCAGCTGGCATACACTGTCACCCTCTCCATACACGTGTATGGAGGGATTGCCTTCTTGTTAGCTTCCTTTGGAAGCTTTACAAGACTAATTGTCTATAAAAGAGACTCTCTTGTTCAGGGGTTGGACAACTTGGACAACATTTTCAGAGCTTGAGCTTTAGGGTTAGGGTTTACATATATCCTCTATCTCTATATCTCTCTCTCTCTCTCTCTTGTGTTTAGTGTGTGTTTAGTCTTATTTTGGGGCACAAACACCCACCATCACACCTTTTCTTAGTTGCTGAGGTACCAGAGGTCTTTCCTTGAAGCTTTTAACTGGTTTGGAACCAAAAGAGCTGCTGGAAGATTGTTTGTGAAGAGGGTCTACAAGGGTAAGACTTTTGTCCATTTTTACCCCATTTTTGCAAAGCTTTTTAGCCTATCTTGCATCTATTTTTGAGCTTAGCATATAACATATAAAAGTCTTGTTTTTGTCTGATCTAAATAGTTTGTTAAGGGTGTTTTAAGCTTTGGGGTTACCCCTCTTAAGGCTTGTTTGGCCTTTGTTTTGTGCCATTTTGGTTGAGCTCCGGGACCATTGTGTTTGGGCCTCCTCACCACTGAAATCTTGAGGGATTTCAGAGGTGAGGATGGTGCCTTGAGGTCCCAAGAAGGAGAGGGCCACCCCCTCTCCTTATTGTCCTTGAAAAGGGCCATTTTTTAGCCTCTTGAGTGAGCATATATTTTGAGTATGTATTGACCATGCCTTGGCTGATTTTCAGGCTCATTATGTCATAACATAGCATTGTTGTATGTTGGTTTTGGTACACCATGCTTGTCTAGCATACATACCTTGTAATGCCATGATTTGCCTCAATACATGCATAGCATTTAGACTACCATGCTTTTGTGTTTTGGCCAAGCTTTGTGAAGCTTATATGCATATTTAAATGTGCTAAGGGACTGTTTTAAGTCATTTGAGTCATCCATGCCTTGCTTTGTATAGCTACCATGTAATCCCTCTTGTATGCCTTAAGCTTTGGCCCGTCTAACATGCCATCCTTGCTTTGTTTCAGTGGTTTGGAACCACTTGACATGTTATTTCAGACCTCATGATGTGCCCATATGCTTGCATTTGATCCCCCTTCAATGTGTTTAAAGGTTGTTGCCTTATGCCCCTTGTTTAGGCCTTGGAGTATGCTTGCATTTTTAGACCACTTAGATGCCATCTAAGTACATCCTTAGCTTTGTTTAGGTCTGCATTAGACCTATTTTAAGTCCCTTTGGCCTTGTGAGGCTTGGTTGACCTAGCCTTGGTTTACCTCCCCTTTGGCTTGCCTTAAGTCTTGGACCATTGTTGCATGTTTGGCTTGCCTTATTTACTTGGTTTAGCACCTTTATAACATGTTTTTCAGAGCTTTATGTGCATGCCATTAATCCATGTTTTGTCACTATTAAGTGTGCTTAAAGGTCGCATGTTTGATGTTTGAGTGTTGGCCCATTAGCATGAGCATGTGTGTGTGTGTTGGCCCGCATTTCCATAGCATTGGCTACTATTTTGGACCTAGTTTAGGGCTGTCCAATTAGTGTAAGTCCCTTCCCCGTCCTCCCGTACTACACAAATCTCTGCCCCTACTGGCAATCCCACATTCAGCCTAACCTGGCCTGCTGATGTAATATAACTGCTCAGGTTGTACATGAAGCTCACAGACCCCTCACCCCTCCATACACGTGTATGGAGGGATTGCCCTCTTGTTAGCTTCCTTTGGAAGCTTTACAAGACTAATTGTCTAGAACCTCTTCTCTCTTGTTCAGGGGTTGGACAACTTAGACAACATTTTTAGAGCTTGAGCTTTAGGGTTAGGGTTTACATATATCCTCTATCTCTATATCTCTCTCTCTCTCTCTTGTGTTTAGTGTGTGTTTAGTCTTATTTTGGTGCACAAACACCCACCATCACACCTTTTCTTAGTTGCTGAGGTACCAGAGGTCTTTCCTTGAAGCTTTTAACTGGTTTGGAACCAAAAGAGCTGCTGGAACATTGTTTGTGAAGAGGGTCTACAAGGGTAAGACTTTTGTCCATTTTTACCCCATTTTTGCAAAGCTTTTTAGCCTATCTTGCATCTATTTTTGAGCTTAGCATATAACATATAAAAGTCTTGTTTTTGTCTGCTCTAAATAGTTTGTTAAGGGTGTTTTCAGCTTTTTGTTTGACCCCTCTTAAGGCTTGTTTGGCCTTTGTTTTGTGCCATTTTGGTTGAGCTCCGGGACCATTGTGTTTGGGCCTCCTCACCACTGAAATCTTGAGGGATTTCATAGGTGAGGATGGTGCCTTGAGGTCCTAGGAAGGAGAGGGCCACCCCCCTCTCGTTGTTGTCCTTGAAAAGGGTTATTTTTGCCTCTTGAGGAAGCATCTAGTTTAAGTGTGTGTTGACCATGCCTTGACTGATGTTTATGCTTATTTTGCCATGAAATAGCATAGTGTTGAGTTGGTTTTGGTACTCCATGCTTGCTTAGCATACATGCCTTGTAATGCCATGATTTGCTTCAATGCATGCATATCATTTAGACTACCATGCTCATGTGTTTTGGCTAAGCTTTGTGAAGCTTATATGCATATTTTGATGTGCTAAGGGACTGTTTTAGGTCATTTGAGTCATTCATGTCTTGCTTTGTATAGCTACCATGCAATCCCTCTTGAATGCCTTAAGCTTCGGCCTCTCTAGCATGCATTACTTGCATTGTTTCAGTGGTTTGGAACCACTTATCATGTTATTTCAGTCCTTATAACATGCTTGTATCCTTGCCTTTGATGCCTCTTTGATGCCTCTAAGAGGTTGTGTTGTATGCTCTATGTTTAAGCATTTGTGCATGCCTCCATGTGTAAATCATTTAGATGCCATCTAGGTGGTTTTTAGGACTTGCCTTAACATGATTTAGGACTACAAAATTTGAGAATACATATGGCATTTGCTATCTTTGGCAAATGAAATAGCAGACCATTGGAGACAACTTTTTGCCATTCCTGTCATTTTTTAGCTTTGGCAAGTGAAATAGCAGCTCCATTGGAGATGCTCTAAGGGGCAAGACAGACCCACGTGGGTTGTCTCCCCATTTTCATTTTTTTATTATATATATATATTGTAATTATTTTAACATTTGTTAGTTTGGGGGCATTTATGTAATTTTATATATTAATCCGATACCATAGTATTACATACAAACAAACACATTTTTACTTAATCTTTAGTTTAAGCCCACCCCTTTGCATGTTGTTGTATGCCCACCTTGTATGTTGTTGCATATCTGTGTATTGTTGCATGATTGGAGTTGCATGATTGAATGAAGTCACATGCTTGCTTGCATGCTCGAACACCCACATAGCGCCTTGCATACTTGTTAGTTGCATTGTCTCATGCTCTATGTCTTGCATGACCATTGTATGCCTTGTATGCTTCTTAGCATTGTCCATGTTGCA